TTCCAAATCCTTATAACCCCATAGCCCCACCGCCCTACAGCCCAATAGCCCCATAGCCCTATAGCCCTAAAGTGACTCTGATTGCTGTTTTTCTCCGGCATCATTTTGTTGCACATATATGTCATTTTCAGAAGGCTTGGGAGTTGTGTGAAGGGTTCATGGGAGCTTCTAAGAGTCTCATGGGAGTCCCTTGGAGGTTCATTGTCCCCTACATCCAAAGTGGTGGTCCTGTCTTCTCCGCACATCCCCCGTGCATGATCTCACCTCCCCCTATTGCTTAACATCACAATAACCATCACCAGTCACTCGTTCACACATTATTATCGTCACTCCTTCCCCATCCCTTACTCACTCACGCAGTCAAGCACTCACACACTCACAGTAATCACCATCATCACTCATTCACTCAGTCAATCACTCACTCACTCACTCACTGACTCTCTCATTTACTCACTCGCTCACTCGCTCATTTGTTCACATCCACTCATCACTGTCCCACTCATCATCATGCCTGAATATGGAGGAAGTAACAAGATGGAGCCTCGTTTGTGAGTGACTTGTGAGGGAGTCTCGATTGGAAGCCCCCACCTATGGGGCCAGCAGCTCCTGTTAGTAATCCGAGCGGGTCTAAGTGTCGTCACTCTTGGGGCCATCATGTATGAGCATGGGGAAGCATCACGCGGGAGCCTAGTGTGTGAGTGGATTGCGAGGAAGTGTCAGGCGGGAGCCCCCTCCCTCTGGGGCCCGCAGCTCATGTTAGTAATCCGAGCCGTCTGTGAGTGGCCCTGAGTGAACTGCGAGGCAGTCTCAGGCGGGAGTCCTCTCCTTATGGGGCCTGCGGCTCATGTTAGTAATCCGAGCGGGTCATCCTAAACATTGTTTCTGCCGTCACTTTTGGGGTCATCATGTTTGAATATGGAGGAAGTATCACGCGGGAGCCTAGTGTGTGAGTGAATCGCGAGGAAGTGTCAGGCGGGAGCCCCCTCCCTCTGGGGCCCGCAGCTCATATGAGTAATCCGAGCTGTCTGTGAGTGAATTGCGAGGAAGTCTCATGCTGTAGCCCCCTCCCCATGGGGCCCGCAGCTCATGTGAGTATCCGAGCCGGTCATCAAAAATCATGTGTTTGCTGTTATTTCTGGGTTCTCATGTTTGAGCACAGAGGAAGTATCAAGCGGGAGCCTCGTCTGTGAGTGAATCGCGAGGAAGTCTCATGCGGGAGTCCTCTCCCCATGGGGCCCCCAGCTCATATCAGTAATCCGAGTGGGTCATCCTATAATTTGCAACCTTCGTCACTTTTGGGGTCCTGAGCATCGAAGAAGTATCAAGCGGGAGCCTCGTCTGTGCAGGAATCGCGATGAAGTCTCAGGCTGGAACCCACTCCATAAAGGGGTCCGCAGCTCACGTTAGTAATCCGCGCGGGTCATCTTAAAACTTATGATCGTTGTCACTTCTGGGCTTCTCGTATTTAAAGCCACCTCGGGGCCTGTGGCCCATTAATCACCTCTCTTTGGCCTTTTTGGGGCTCTCTCGGGCGCCTCTTGGGGCGCTCCTGGGGCGCTCCTGGAAGCATTGGCGCCATCTTGGAACTCTTCGTGGCTGCAGGTGGAGCTATCTTGTACGATCTTTGAGCCATCTGGACGCCGCAGAAACCCATCGTAAGCGACAGTGCGATACAACCACACCCATTGAACCACACCTTTTGACTGAAGGGTTGTAGCCTCCTGGGGGCCTTTTTAAAAATCTGTATTGGACCGCCCTAGGCCGCCTTGCAGTCATCTTGGGGCCTCTTGGGGTTTCTTCGGGCCCACGTGTGGTCTGCCACCGAGAGGGTGCTGCTCGTGCTGATGCTGCTGATGATGCTGCAGCTGCTGCTGCTGCTGATGCGCTGATAATGATGATGACGATGGCGATGACGAATATGACGAAGATGACGATTCTGAAGATCATGAAGATGACGATGATGATGCTGATGATGACGATGTTGCTGATGATGAGGATGATGCTGATGATAATGATTACGATGATGCTGCTGATGATGAGGATGATGACGACGATGATGCTGATTATGCTGCTGTTGATGATGCTGATTTTGATAAGCATGATGCTGCTGATGATGATGACGATGAAGAAGGTGACGATGGCGGAATGACTGCGTGCATGCATGCAGATGCTGATGCTGATGCTGATGCTGATGCTGATGCTGATGATCAATATTATGATGCTGATGATGACGATGATGCTGCTGATAAGGATGATGAAGATACACATTATGGTGCTGATGACGATGCTGATGATGCTGACGCTGATGCTGATTATGATGGTGATGATGCTGATGATGATTATGATGATGCTGGTGATGATTATGATGATGGTGATCATCATGATGATGCTGATGATGCTGACGATGAGGTTGATGAGGACGATGATGATGATGACCATGATGCTGCTGATGATGATGATGTTGATGTTGATGTTGTTGATGATGATACTGATGATGATGATGATGATGATGGTGATGATGCTGATGGTAA